CCGCCCGCGGGCCGACCTGCGCAGGTGTGGGGTGGGCGGGGCGAGCTGGGGGCCCCGGCGGAGGCGCGCACGGCACCCCGGGGCTTCGTGGGCTGCTGCCTTCCCACGGCTCCCGGTTCTCACTTTGCACGGCGCGTCCCCGACTCCCTTAAAAGGAAGCTGTGTGGCTGCCTCGGGGCTGCTGCGCTCTAGGGCTGCAGCGCTCCGGCGCTACCAGTTTTTTTTCCCCAGCCGTGGAAGTCCTAACTCGCTTCCTCTGCTCGAGGCCTAGTCTTTCTTCTCCTTTGCAGGAGCTGCTGCCAGAAGTTCACACAATTTAAATCTGGCCCTGGGCACTCCTGTCACCCCGGATTTGGGTATCCGAGACTGTCCTACCGCCAACTCGGGTTGGCAGGCAGCGAGGCTGGCAGCGGTCTGCCGCCCGGAGCAGCAGGGCAGGGCGGGGCGGGGCCTCGAGCCTGCAGGCCTCACAGCCAATACACGCCGGGTCTAGAGAGGCCCTGGGCTGGCTGCAGCCTGGGAAGGCCTCCTCCTGAAGTCTTTTTGGCGCTGATTAGGGCTGCAAAGGGCACCAACGTCTACAGAGGAATTGTCCTGTCATTCTTAAAAGCCTGGAGCAGGAAGTGGTGAGACTTCTTTAGCCACCTGAGATGGGGCAATCCCTAAGGCTAAAACGTTCCCTCTCAGAACAAAAAAGGAGTTTTGGTAAGATACTTTGTGATAAAAATCTACAGATTGTCATGCTTTGTAATGGAAAACTGAGTGGTTCGTTGGGGAGCAAGATATTGCGGAGCAAGGTGCGACTCTCACCACTTAACCACTAAAAGTTCTGGTTCCTGCAAGAAAACAGAATAATAGACACAGGTTTGGAGGGGATGTGAGGACCGGAATCTGGGAGGAGTTGGAAGGGGGAGGGGGAAATATAATCAAAATACACTGTATTGGGGGGCTGGAGAGATGACTCAGTAGTTAAGAGCACTGGCTGCTCTTGCAGAGGACCTGGGTTCAGTTCCCAGCACCCACATGGCAGCTCACAACCTTCCATAATTCCAACTCCAGGGAATCCAATGCCCTCTTTTGGCTCCACCAGCACCAGGCATACATATGGTCCACAAACATACATGCAGGTAAATACTCATACACATAAAAGTAAATCTTTAAAAAAAATTCATTGTATACATGTATGAAATTCTCAAAGAACAATATTATACTAAAAAAAAGTCACAGATTGGAAAGAAATGAAACCATTCAAATGACAGGTTATCCATGCACAAAATCCAAAAGAATCTGCAAACAAGCAAACAAAATTCCTACATCTAATAAGTTCAGCAACATCATAGGATATAGATCAACACACAAGAATCAACTACGTTCTTGTATAATTGCAATAAATGTGTAGAAGCTGATATAAAAATGCTGTTTACATGCCGGGCTTGATGACACACGCCTTTAATCCAAGCACTCGAGAGGCAGAGGCAGGTGGATCTCTGTGAGTTCTAGGCCAGCCGTGACTCCATAGCGAATTCAGGCCGGCTGAGGCTACAGGAAGGCCCTGTCTCAAAAAGACCGAAAAAAAAAGCTGTTTACAATCTCTGCAAAGAAGGTTAATGTGTAAAATTGTAACAAAAAATACAGGGGGCTGGACAGATGGGCTCAGCAGTTTCCTGTTCTTGGAAAGGACCTGGGCTCAGTTCCCAGCATCCACGTGGCAGCTCTTAACCAGTTGTAACTCTGGTCCAGGGGATCCAACACCTTCTTCTGGTCTCTGTGGACACTAGGCATGCATATGGTGCACATACAGACATGCAGATACACATAAACACACAATTAAAAAAACAATATATAATTAAACATATACCTTTTAGGGGCTGGAGACATGGCTCAGCGGTTAAGAGCACTGACTGCTCTTGCACCTCGAGGACTCGGGTTCGATTCCCAGCACCCACAATGGCGGCTAAGGGCCGTCCTTAACTCCAGTTCCAGGGGAATCGGAGGCCCTCTTCTGACCTCTGAGGCGTTGCATGACACAGGTACACTCACATACATACAGGCAATACACTCGTACACGTAAAAATAATAAAATATTAAAAAATATGCCTTTTAAAAAAGCTTAAAAGTATAGCTATAGTAATCAGGACTGTGTGATATTAGCAGAGGAACAGATATAATTATCAGTAGAGAATCAGAAATGCAAAGATGCTAAAACAAGTTTTGGTAAATGCACGAAAACAGCACTGATGATGCTGGGGCAACTGGTCCTCAAACAGAAAAAAGAAAGAAAAAGAAGAAAAGCAAACAAACAAAACCACTACAAAGTAAGCCTTGTTTCTACCCAAAAATGTGCTCAAACTGAATCATGGATTTATAAATAAAATGTGAAACTTTTAGGAAAAATCTTTGGGACCCAGGACTGGGCAAACAGACTTGACACCAGAAACAGTCCCCATAAATGGGGAAAAATATTTGCAAACCATGAAGTCAACAAACAACTAGTGTCTTGAATGTAAAAAGAATGCTAAAAACTCAAGAAAAAAAAATCCAGTTAGGACAGAGGCAAAACACATGGAGAGGTGATTCACTAAAAGAAAAAAGTACAGAGATGGTTAACAGGGACACAAAAAAGTCTTTAAGGCAATGCAAACTAAAGCTACACAAGATGCCAATATACACTTACTAGAACAGCTAAAATAAAAATAGTAACAACATCAAATACTGGTGAGGGTGGAGGTAAACAATCACTTTTACATGGCTGGTGTGCATAAAAACAGAATGAGGAGCTAGAGAGATGGCTCAGAGGTTAAGCGCACACACTGCTCTTCCAGAGGATCTGTATTTGGTTCCCAGCACCCATATTGGGCAGATCACAACCTCCTGAAAGTCCAGAGCCAGGGGATCTGATGCTTCTGGCCTCTGAGGGCACTTGAACTCATGTGCACTTAGTCACCCCAAACCCCACACCATAATTAAATAAATCTTTATAAAAAAATCTTTAAAAAAATCAGAAAGAAAATGGCATTCTCAAAACTTGGCCGTTTCTTACGGAGCTACACACAGCTGCCAAATGACACAGTTTGCACTCTTGAGTTGTTCCAGGGAAATGGAAACATGTACACAAAAAGCTATACATGAATGTTCAACACAGCTGCATTTCTAGAGGTCCCAACTGAAATTAACAGGTGTCATTCAATGGGCAAATGGCTAGAAAACAGCAATCCATCTGTACCACGAAATACTACACTGGAATATAAAAAAAACACACACACACACACACACACACACACACACAGTCAACTAACGATACATATGAAAACTTGGACAAGTCTTCTGAGAATTATGCTGAGTCAAAAAATCCAATTCCTGCTAGGCACACACACACACCTTTAATCCCAGCACTCGGGAGGCAGAGGCAGGGAGATTTCTGTGAGTTCAAGGTTAGTCTGATCTACATAGTGAGTGGTACATTTACCCAATGGAGTTGTATTCAGCAGTAAACAAAGATGAAATAATGGCATTTTCAGGTAAATGGATGGATCTAGAAACTGTTATACTAAGTGAAGTAACACAGACTCATTTGTGGATCCTAGCACCAAATCCTTATAAGTGAGTGCATATCCTGATGCAACTGCAGGGACCAAGAATATGAAAGGGAAACAGGAAGGTTAAAGGGAAAGAAGGAACCCGAGAGAGAAGAATTGTAGGATAAAGGTGTTACTAAGGGAGAAATATGTAAAGAGGGGGGTAGTTAAGGGGGGGAAGAGGGTTATTCAAAGAACTATGGGAATAAAGGGGAGAAAAATTCTCCAGATACACAGTTAAAAAAAAAAAGCCTTATGCACAGAAGGAACCCTACCTATGGGGATGGAAGAAAGCCCTTCCAGAAAGCAACACGGTTGTTAAATGAAAAACCCAGTACCAGAGGTGGGTGGCCTCCCTATGAGCTGTTGGCCTGAGGGACCCTGGAAGTCCCCAAGACAATAAAGGCCATTGCCAGTAATGTTGGTTGTACATCGAAAGTGGATGGAGGGACACTATTGCTGAAGACACTGCATGATGTGAGCGCAGGAGAAGGAGAAATCAAGTTTGGACTAAGCTGGAAACTCCATGCCACTGGATGGGTGGCTTTCATGGTGCCAAAAGGTGCTATACAGATGACTGGTCTCCTATAATTCTGCTCAATGATGGACCCCTGAGTGTTGCAATATCGACATACCAAACAAGATGTTCCTGCTGGTGGAATAGTGGAGCATCTAGTGTGTGTACAACCAGCAAATTTTTGATTGGATAAAATGCCCACTCCTAGGGGTGGAACACACATCTGGTACTGTGGACCAGACTACCCCCTTGTGGCAGGGGAGAATACAGGCCCCAGCAGGAAACCACTGCAATTATTTTGTTGGATGGATGTGATGCACCTGCTAAAGTACCATCCAAGCATCTGTGTTTACACTCATAGGTTATTACAGCAGCCACTGTTTAGATGTTCTTGTTTCTTGCTGTTTGTGTTTTTATAGTAGATGGAATCCCACTGAAATGGGCCTGACACAGTGGGCCTTAACACCCAGAACAGCATATATGGGTTCCAGTGGGGGACTATGGGTGGGTACTGGTGGGGGCAGGGCTATAAAGATGATTCAGATTGTTTGAGATGCTTTGTATGA